GTATTTAATTCTTTCTTATTTGTATTTTCTAAAAAAGAGAATTGAGCTCTCTCTCTCGCTATCTCTCTCTCCTCTTCACCCTCCCTCTTCCGATCTTTCTATTTTTTTAATATTAATAAGATTGTCAAAAAAAAAGAAATTAATACTTTGACATTTTTCTTAATACTAAAAAGGAGAAGAGCGACTCCAAATTTTTATTATTTTTGTTATACAAAGAGGATGGTACTTTCTTCTAAAGTTTTTAACTTGTTAAGTTGGTTTAATGGTCGGATAAATTGTCTAAAAAATAACTCTATGGGGTAAATTGATATTGAGACTATAATTTATAAGGGTAAAATGATAATAACTTTAAGGGCTAAACTTGTACTTTTACTTTAATTAACAAACTCCGTTAAATTTGACCGTTAGTTTTGAGGGTAAAATGACTAAAAGAGAACGTTAAGGGGGAAATTGATAGTGGCACCGAACGTTAAGGAGGTAAAGTGATAATAACCCTTTATTTTTTGAGTATGGTCGTGTTACTATTTATCTTAAAATAAGACAGCACATTTGTTGCTTCAATCACAATCTTGAAAATCCACGTATACTATCTCAAAACAAAATATTTTTTAAACAAATTACGTGTGAAATCGTCCTCTACATGTCTCAATGAGCTGTGTTTAGTAGAAATTTGTTGGAAGAGATAAAGAACTACAGCAAGAATTTCAGGTGTCACGAGCCAACCGTCGTAGCACCAATTTGTCTGTACGACATCACCTGGTGCTTCGCTGGGGTGGACACGACCAAGATGGGTTTGGTCCACCGTCCATTATTGGCCCAACCCTTTTGAGTCCATGCTTTTTGGAGTAAACTTTTTCTGAAGAAACAATAGAGGAGGCCAGGCTAACATGCAGTCTTCTCAGGCACGTGGGATGCCGTGCCTAATTATTGGATGGGTATCTTGGCTGGCCTTCCTGCTGCTTTACCACTAATCACTGATGCTAAATTATCATACCCCCAATCCGATGATTGGAAACTAAATGGACTTACATTTTACGTTCTTGTTCCGTTGCAGACGTTGAGGCTTCTGATCAGAAGTTAAAAAGACCACCACATTCGTACACAGATTTGACAAAGTCGTATGCTGCTTATGCCTCGTCTTCTCTGGGTAAAAGTTCAATCTTCTTTTGCACCGTTCATCCCCTGAGGTTTAACCGACGAAGACGAAGCAAGCAAGCGAAGGTATTAATTTGTTCCCGTCAGCGAATCCTGCTCATCAACGTCGGATGAAAGTTTTCAAGTCAGATACTTTAAAAACCTTGACTTTGAGACATTAAAAGACTCCGAGAAGATGAAGTGCCATCTGCTACTGTCGGTGCAGTAACATTTGGAATGCCTTCACCCAAACAAAATTGTCAACGAAGTTGTCGTTCTGGTACTCGTATATGGCGACATGAATCATATCGCTGGTTTGATTAAGAGTTAAGACAAGTGGTCAGGTAACATGGCGTGGCCCAGTTGCAGAGCAACCCGGGACGTGCAGATCATGGATGTGCCAAAAATTCGCAACTGTTCAAGCTTCGTCCTAAAGGATTCTACGTGACGTGTCAATTCTCTGGATTGATAGTAGTAGTAATAAATTAACCAATCATGCAATTTGGTTACCAGAGATCTAAACACGTTGATCTCGTAATGGCCCTGCTCTTGATTTAAAATGAAAACAGCATAAACAACCAAATTCCCTTGCGCACCACCCGATGTAATAGAAGCAAGCTGTTCAAGACTACTGATTTATAGAAGATGTTCAAAACAGCATCAATGTTAGTTTCACTAAGTCGTAGATAGGGTGTTTCACGGTGATTGATCCGTTTACTTCACGAGCTATAGAATTTCTTTATGTCGAAAGATGCAAGTCTGATCATCATCACTCCAGACTCCAGGCTCCAGTCTCCAGAAAGCAAAGAAAAATAGTACCACGGGGTTTTGTTGTGAATTGCCTGGAAGAGAGGTAGAACCGTAGAACAGCCAATCAGCAGCTGGTATCCGACTTTTACATGTAAAATAATTTCAGGTGAAGGGTAGGGCAGGGTAGGGGCACACTCTTCCAAGCCTTTCGGCAATTATTGCCACATTATCCAGCGGCTGTGACAACCATTAACACGAGGCCACGTGCATCACATCATGGTACTAAAGATTTCCAATCGTAAATCAAGATTTGCAAGATTCATTCTTGCGAGACTCGCAATCACTGCTACCTGTAGGTCCAACCAAGCCAACTGCAGGAATATCAGTTGATGAATGTTTTCAAATTTACATTGCTGTTACTTCGTAAATCTAACTCAAATAATATTTGTTTGGATAGTGTATTATTTGAAATATTATTTGAAATAATTACTGTAGCACTTTTTGTGATGTGATGTATGTGAGATAAAAAGTAGTTGGGAATATAAAAAAGTAGATTGAGAAATGTGTTTGTGATGCAAGCGAAATATTATTTGAGATAATTTTGGTATCCAAACACTCCCTGGCTCGCTTCAATGAGCATCTACTGAAATATGATTAGTTACAAGCACTAAAGATTTATATAAAATCATCGATACTTTGTGACCTTCCAACTGTAAATAGAATAATAGTATGGGATGCTGGAACTTCTCTTCGAAACTGTAGCTTATATAACTTCCCTGTTGTCAAAGTGTCCAAATCTACTCTAACGTGATCAAATCCCTTGTTTACTAAGCTTGTTCTACGTCAAGGAAGTTCAAAAGCATGCCTTTGTTTTGTGAGACTTATGTTGTTAATATTATGAAGGTTCAAACTCTCAGAAGAGGAAAGCGGCAGTGTATATTTGGACGAGAAGGAAGTGGCTAGATGTGTGCTGGAATGCAAACAGAGCTTGATTGGTAAAGTTTGGGGGGAGAAGCAGGCAAATATTGGAGGAGTCAAGAGCTTCGCAAGCAGCATGTGGTCACAGATGAGGAATCTGAGGGTAATGGAGATTGGTCGTAACTTGTTCCACTTCATTTTTTAGAAGAAAAAAGGATATTGAAATAGTGATGAGTAGGAGGTCATGGATTTATGATGGTCAATCGTTAATTCTGCTGCAGTGGAAAACTGGAGTAGAGAAGGATGAAGAAGCATTGAGCAAAACATTAATTTGTGTGCAGATCTAGAATATACCCCTGCACTGGGTTACGAAGGAGGTGGAGAGAAAAATTGGCAGTATTTTTCCCAAAGTGAGTAAGGTGATTATTCCGCAGAGTGGAGGGAATGAAGGTAAACATCTAAAAATATTGGCTGAAATTGATCTGACTATGCCATTGCCTAGAGGGATTATGGTTAATAGTACTGGTATTAAGAGGTGGATTGAGTTTAAATATGAAAAATGTCTAGACTTCTGTTTTGGTTGTGGATTAGTAGGTCATAGTGAAAGGAACTGTAGTAAAAGAGGAATGAATAAAAGAATGGAACCTCAATATGGTAACTGGATGAGAGCTAGTTATCCTCAAAATCCTAGCAAGAGGAATAGGAATGGGGGTGGGACTGAGAGGGTTGAAGAAGAGAAATTCCAAACTCAGGACACTAGGAAGGCAAGAAGAGGTGAGTAGAAGCTGCTGTTAACCTATATGGAAGAATTCCACAAGGATAAGGAACTAAAATGAACTTCTGAGGGAGAGTTGACAATAGATACTGATCTAATGAGTAGGAAAGGAAAGAGTGAGCTAGAGGAGAATGAGACAGAGAAAAGGAATGATGGGAAGGAGAGGGGAGACAAGGGGAAAAAGGGTTAAGGATGATAGGGGGAAAGGCTATAGGAGGAGCAGAGAGGAGGACACAGAGGGAACAGCAGGATAGAGGGAGTGTGGAGGAAAACGATAAGGGAGCATATGATCTAATGTGGATTGATGAAGCTCAAGGTAGGAATAAAGAGGACAGGATTGCAAAGGAGATGATAGAAGGGAGGGAAGGTAGATTAACATTTGAGGGAGGGGAAGGGATAAAGAAATTAGGAAAGTAGAAAGGTAGGACGAAAAGAAATCAGATAGTGAGTAAGAAGTGGAAAAGATTGGTACTAGAGGTGAGCAGGAGGAAACCATTGGGTGAAGCTAACAGGGGAGTTGCTAGAATTGAGGAAAGGAAAAGGAAGGTGGAGATTATACGTTAGGAAGAAGATGAGGAGCAAGGAGGGAAGGAGAACTGGAAGAGAAGTAGAATTGAGAATGGAAGTAGTGATTGGATGGAACTTTCTAAGGGGTTGGAGCCCACCTTAAATGAGGCTCCAAGATCTGAATGAAGACTGCGGTGTGGAACTGTCGAGATGTAGAGAGCCCTTGACAGTTCCCCAACTGACAGAAGTCATTAGACTCCATTCTCCTTTACTAGTATTCTTGTCAGAAACAAAAAAAGAAAAAAAACTACTTGAACAGTGTGAAACAGTGGATTAAATTTGACAATGTGTTTGTGGTTGATCCAGTTGGTAGGATTGGGGGTTTGGCGGTATTATGGAAAAGGGAGCTGTAGGTGAAAAAGGTGTTGTTTACAAGCTTCACTATTGAATTGCTCATAGAGGACAGTAAAGCTAAGATAGATATGCTAGTTCAAATGTTTAGGTTAGAAGAGAACAATGGAAGGTTGTAACGAGAAAGAATATACCGTGGGGTAAATACTGGACTATAATGGGAGATTTTAATGACATTACCTCGAATAATGAAAAATAGGGAGGTACACAAAGGGTTGAAATGAGATTTCAGGATTTTAACTCTTTCATAAATAGTAATGAACTGGTCGATGTTGGATGTGAAGGAATTCCGTGGACCTGGAGTAATAATTGGGAGAATGAGGGAGAGGTGAAGGAAAGGATTGATAGGATATTGGGAACTGCTATGCTAGTAGCGAAACAACAAGGGTGGAGAAGAGTGGAATTTGAAACAAATTGTATGCAGGTTGTGAATGAAATTAATAGAGAGGAAGATGATGTAATCATGTCCACAGCGGTGTCTGATATCAGGAAACTAAAATCCAACTTTGATAAATGTTGCTTTACCTTCACTAAAAAGGGGTTGACTTGTAACAACTCTATCAGTCATACATTAGCTAAGATGGCGATACATATGAAATGCTCAGCTGAATGGAAAGATAGCTTCTCAAGTTGGTTGCTTGAGCTTGTTCAAGCAGATTGTAAGGGCAGTTGCCCACCCTTTATGTAATCTGGTTAGAATATTAATAAAGTGTTGTCATTTTGATAAAAAAAAAAAACTCTTATTATCTGTAAGTCTTGATGTCTTTCCCAAAACCATTAACGGTTTCACTCTCTGTAAACCTTATACTAACAAATTTTGCAACATGTTGTAATTATAAATCTGGATATCGAGAAGTCACAACTGTAGAACCCGTTTGATATCATTGGCTATGTTTTGGGCATCCAAAGCAGCTCCATACAATCCTCTTCCTGCCAAACCAGCGCAGTACAATCCCTTGGTACCCTTCCAGTTGTTAGGGAAGGCAGGTTTTGCAAATCCGTCGTCAGTCAGGAGATCATCAGCCCCCTGAGGCCAGTAGACGCGCACACAAAAAAAAAGAAAAATAAGTACTAATCAGTAATTGGATGGAGCAATCAGGGTTTTACTATAAATTGTTCTCCAGTGCGTACGCATTCCTGGCCAGGTGGAGGTGGGGCAAATATTATGAAGATGGCAAGTTGAAGGAAGACGGGCAAGAAGTTCAAAAAGCAGCTGTGCAAGGCGAATTATAATTGTACCTGGAGCCACTTATTCGTCGATCTTTTAAAGCCAGTTGCAAAAATAACAGCATCAAATGGGTAAGACTTGCCATCCTCAAACACCACATCATTGCCTCCAAGACTTGCTACTGCCGGCAGTACCTGTTTATTTATTTATTTTATGGTATCAAAATTATAAGATTTTACAACATGCATGCTTCACACTGAAGGAATTTCGAAGAATATATACTTGTATCATCACTCTACATGAGTTGACATGTATCAGAACTGGAAAATGGAAATCATACACGCAAAGCAAGATGGCTACGTGCCCACTGATCCACATCAATCCTGCAAATATGATTAAAATAGCAGTAACCCTTCTTCTTTTTTTTTTCTCCTTTTCTATAGAGCCCCTTTTTCTCCCTTGAAAGATAGCATATGAAATCAAAATAATTAGAAGCAGAATTAATTTGCAAAGTCCACGCGCTATCAGTTCATCTAACTATTGTACCGCGGTAAAAACGGTTCAATTAATGAAAGTGTATTAAAATCATCGCGCAATACTGCACCTGAATCTCGCCGGATTTGATTTTCTGACAGGTTCCAACGTCAATGACGGGGTATTTGCCATACTTAACTTTCATGGTGAAGGGACCTTCCTCTGGCCTTTTGATTCCGTACCTGGACAAGTCTCCTCCATACCACAGCTTGCTCAGCATCAACACCAGCCAGTCAACCGTATTCAGAGAAAAATATTTCAACAAAACCGGTCCTATGTATACCATTCCCCTTGACAGAATGTGAAGCTGCATGTATCACAACCAACCCATTCAAGCAATCCAATACTACTCACCAGGGTAACTAAATACTCCTATGTCGTCACGTCCCAAATGAATAAATAAAATGGAAAAAAGAGAGAGAGAGTGGCCTACCGGGCTACGGACGGCGATGGAAGTCTTCGCACCGTAGTTTGATAGATCAAATGCAATTTCCATACCAGAATTTCCAGACCCAACAACCAAAACATTCTTGTTTTCATAGGACTTGCCGTTTTTATATCGGGTGCTATGGATGACCTCGCCCAGGTAAGTGTTGAGACCTTCAAGCTGCGGGATGAATGCATCGGAGGTTTCTCCCGTGGCCACCACCAAGCACTTGCTGGAATACTCCTCCATCTCCTCGGAATCGGAAGAACCCAAATTCCTCGCCTTGACAATCCATGCTTCGGCGGCTTCATCGTACCGCGCCGACTCCACCGATCTTTGGTACAAGGGACAAATGTTGAAATGGGAGACGTAGTCGTCTAAATAACGCAAGAACTGGTCTCTGGGCACGTAAGTCGGGTAGGTGGTCGGGAACGGCTTGAGAGGAAGTTGACAGAACTGTTTAGCCAGGTGAAGATGAAGGCGGTCGTAGGAATATTTCTTCCACAAGGAAGCAAAACAATCTTCTCTCTCAAGGACTATGTTTGGAATGGAAAGGTTGTTCAAGCATGCTGCAGTTGCAAGCCCCGACGGCCCAGCTCCCACTACTATTACCACTTGTTCTTTGGTTGCCATGGCTTAGAGGAATATGGCTGGCCTTGACAAACAAGTACTACTAGTAATGTTTAATCTGAGTAGTATCCATCTAAATCTAGAACCCCCCACCATCACCATCAACATCACCATCAACATCAAGATAGTTGTACGTATTACATCTCATTGGGATGAGGATGCTTGTGAGTGCTGTAATCATCCATGGCCACAAGAAAATGAACACCTATTTTTGTTTTTTCGGAGGCGGTGGGGAATTGCTCGTCTCAATTTCCATTCGAGAATTCCCATTTCACCATGCAGTCGCATCGAGTTTCTCATCGGCGGCTTGAAAATATTGTACATTGTTGTTGTTTTCTTCTTTTCTTCCGTGTATACTTTTACCACTTCTTCTATGGTCACTGCTAATTGATTCATTTCACAATATTTCTTTTGCGGTCATGCTCATTCTTCACTATTATAAAGTCTTAATCGTATAAGAATACAAGTATAATTCTATTGGCTAGAAGCAAACGATTTGGTATGACCTTAGACGTGGAATACATAGTATATACTTGCTATCCAAACACGTTTAAACGTGGAATACATAGTATACACTTGCAAGGCATACTCATAATTTTGTCATCATATAGTATATGCCATAATTTTGTCATCATATAGTATATGCCATAATTTTGTCATCATATAGTATAATAGGTTTGTTTGGATAGGGTATTATTTGAAATAATTACTGTATCATTTTTTTGTATGTGAGATAAAAAGGTGATTGGGAATATACAAAGATGAATTGAAAAATGTATTTATGATGCAAGCGAAATATTATTTGGGATAAACCTGCTATCCAAACAAACCCATTATTTACTCGCCTCAGTTACCATACTTTTGTCATACTCATTCATTATTATATAGTTTTAGTCGTATAAGGGGTGAGGGATAAATTAGATGGTTTAAGGAAGAGAGTGTAAGTGAGAAATCTTTGATTCAAATCTTCCCACTTACACGATTTATATATATATATATATACATATATAAAACTCTTGCTTGTATAGGAATACAAGTATAATTCTATTGGCTAGAAGGAAACGATTTGCTATGACCTCCTTTGATTTGTGCAAGACATGGCATATAGCTGCAAGGCATAATATAGTAACAAGAGGCGTACTCGGGGAATTTGTGGAAAACAAACGGGCCACGTTTCCCTCTACACGTGTTTGTTTGTGTTCTTTTATTATTTGTGTTCTTTTTGCTTCTTAATTCATTGACTTCAAGGTGTTGAATGGTCTATCATCTCTGCTCTCGAATTGAAGGTTAACCACATCATTACAGAACATAACTACTAGTGTGTTACTACTTCCAAATTTCTAGTATGTTTTTCATTTTTATTTTTATTTTTATTTTTTTGAGTGCGGTCGTGTTACTATTTATCTTAAAATAAGACGGGACATTTGTTGCTTCAATCACAATCTTGAAAATCCACGTATACTATCTCAAAACAAAATATTATTTAAGCAAATTACGTGTGAAATCGTCCTCTACATGTCTCAATGAGCTGCGTTTAGTAGAAATTTGTTGGAAGAGATAAAGAATTACAGCAAGAATTTCAGGTGTCACGAGCCAACCGTCGTAGCACCAATTTGTCTGTACGACATCACCTGGTGCTTCGTTGGGGTGGACACGAACATGATGGGTAAGGTCCCCCATCTATTGATGATAAAATTGAAATTTGAAATAGTTTAAATTCGTTAAGTTATTGCCAAGTATTAAATTTGATATATTTAAATATATATTACATTAAATAATAAATGAATCACTTATCACTAATTTTTTAGATCAAATTTTAAATTGAGTACCACTTAATTGATTCATATGTTCAATTTTTATTATTAAATGTATCTGAAAGTATTAAAATTTGAATCCATTAATTTTAAGTATTGAATTGAGTTATTAAACAATACCTTATTATTTATGCAGAATTCAAATTTCATATTTCAGATTTCAATTGTTGTTTTATCCAAAGGAAAGTACTTAAAAAAAAAAAAAAAGCAATATAATGGGAAAACCAGATCCTTTCTTAACTAAGACCCAGGTAATTACAAACTAAGCAATAAGCATGTCATCAGTTTGACCTTATATGTTCAAGATATGGATGCAGGATGGATCAATCTTTATTACAGTGTCACCGAACGGACACGAATGCATGTTAAATATACAGGAAGTAGGAACTGAAATTTAATTTCATAATAGAAGGAAGAAATATGCATCTAGGTCGCTAATATACAGACCCGGCATGTGTGTCATAATCTTAGCCTGATGGATCATTGTCAGGAATCCTGCAATTGGTGATTAAACTTGTGAAATCGCTTGAACATCATAATAATGTCATCAACCCTGTTTTACCATCCTTGGGAATGACAGGGCAATGTTGGGTGGTAAGTAGAAAGTAGTAGAAGAAGAAGTAGGTATAGATATCAGGGGAAAGAAAAGAGGGAGGATACCTGAAAGACACAATGGGGTTTGGGGGATTTTTTTTTTTTTTTTTGGGGAGAGGGGGGAAGGGGTTTGGGAAGTAACAGAACGGCATAATTTTCCAGAAAATATAATGGTTCAGGTCCTCTTGGCAGAATAACTGCAGGCCAGAACTATTCAGAAAATTAATGTTGGTAACTCGTCATTTGCATTTCTAATTACAACATTCATGCCAGAAATGGATAAATTGATTTCATAATTTCCACCACCTGTCCTTAATAATGTTAATGAAAACATTCCGTATTGCAGTCAAGGATTGTATGGCATTTAACTCAGACCCCCATCCATAGACAAGAAATAAAGTCAGATTTTTAAGGTGCAGATACTTGCAGTAATGTCATTCTGTATTTTATCAGCATACCTTTCAATATGCTGCAACAACCAATGATGTTAGAGATGTGCTTCTTTCTAGCCAGGAATCTAATCCTGCTGTATCCGTTGAATTATGAGATCAACAGCTGCATTTGCTGATGAAAATGCTCCATGAAAGCTCTCCTGATAGGATATAGAACCCAATTCCTGAACCATTTCCAACAATATTTCGCCCAGGTCAGTTTTTTTCTCCATCAACGACTTGTAAAATGAGTGGCTAGCAACCTCACTAATTTTGATGTTCGTTTCCTCGGGACAGTATTCATCATCCAACCACTTATGAAGAGTCACCCTTAGCCATTCTGATTCCTGCACTTCTATGATACACAACCATTAACCATATTTCCATAAAGGGCAGGAAACCATGGAATCACAAATAGCAATCCATAAACATTTGAAATTGACGATGGATTGCAACTTCTCTCCAACAAGAGCTTCTAATTATTCAAAGCAAAAATGAGATTGCTTGGTAGCCAAGAGATAATTTATAGAATCGAGGACGGATTAACCAGAAAGTCCACAAGTGTTACAGTTCTCTCTCGATTCTAAAAGCTAGGGATGCCATGGTGACACAGAGATTTTCTTTCTCTATTTTTCTCCAATCGAAATAAGCACTAAAAAATTGTTCTACATGCAAATTTGCAATAAAGATGTATATTTAGTTCGCAAGATATATCGAACCTGCCAGTTCTAAAATAATGCTAATACCTGAAAACATTCAGACATATCAATAGCAGACTAGCCATCTAATGATATGTAGAAACCAACCCATGTTGTTACAAGTTTAAATACAGAAACTTCGTGGCAACCAATGTTCAATGAAGATCCGAAAGCTTTCCACACAAATTGATCATTAAAAAACTTAAAATGTAGAAGAGTGGCTTTCATCACCATTCTTTGTGCGCCAGAGTGAAAATTGATTAAAAAAAGATCTTCTAAGCATGATTGATCTTAATGGAGAAGAAGAGAAGAAGAAGAGGATAGCACAACAAATTGTAGAGAGCAAAAGAATCCACGAGGAGTAACATTACAATGGATTTTTTTTTTTTTTTTTAAACAAAAGGCATAGGATAAGAATCGCTACGCATTGAGACGTGTCTTTGGTCAATTTAGGATAAAAGTGAAAGGCAAGCCACCACTATCAACCGTCATCTCCAGTCATCCAGCTAAAGCAAACAAGAAAAGCATTATGGAAGCGCGTCTTAGGGAAGAGCTGGGCGAGACAGAGGCTTTGGACTAAACAAAGTAAAAAGAAGAAAACAAGGAAGAAACCGATAAACTGCATCAAGGGATGAGCAAGTCATGCAACCTAATCCTCTAATTTATTCAAGTAAACGAGCCATTTCCGTCATTTCACGATCAAGACGAAGATGTGTTTTTATTTTTTGCGTCTTTTGTGATGAAAAGAGAAATAACGAGCTAAATTATAAGCCCGCCAGAAGGCTCAATCCATCATTGCTACACCCAAATCAAATTTTCACCCTCTCACTTAGCAGCATACATTCAATCATTTAAACAGGCGTACAAGGGAAATAAACAGAAAAAATGTCATAATTATAAATGAAAGAAAGAATTGTAGGCGCTGTATCAGTACAATTATGCAATTAACTGAGTAGTATCGCCATAATTAATTAACCCAATGCCCCACCCCAAGTAGACCCAGTATGGGTACTTGATTGAGTCACAAACCATCCACAGACACCCATAAAAGTGAACGAACATTAAATCTTGCGACGAAGAATTAAAAAAGAAACAAAGAAAACAAAACATATTTACCTCCAAGGCTTGCGAAGGGTCTAACCAACTGCTTGGGACCCTAAGGTGTTGAACAGAATCTTCTTCTGGGTCGCCTTCTATATTGTACTGGGTGTTTGAAGGAGAAAGAAGACTTGGAAATCTGGAAAGTCGGAGCTCATGTTTGTGATGGAATTTGGGTTTAAAATAAAGATTCAGGCTGCCCGAGTTTCCTATTTTATAATGGCCTACATACTTTAGCTCTGCCATTATCAGGGTTGGATTTGAGAATAACACCGAACCCATTTCTCAGAACAATCTGTGATAACTTTTTTCCTCGGACCTTTTTTCGCGGGTTTTAGGACAGAGCAGAAAAACAATTTGCTGCCGGGAGAAAAAGAGGAACACAGAAGAAACCGAGAATTGCACGGACATATGGCGTGTCAATTTCTTTGGACGAACGCTCCCGCGATAATTTTAGATAAGGGAGCAAAGTCGAATAAACTGGGAGCATTTATGAAGCTCGTTGGCGAGTAGCGACCGATGGTGTTAGCTTAGTGGTGTCAGGTGATCTTTGAAATAGGGACGTAATCGAGCCGAATGGAACGCAAGTATTGCTGCACTCAAATTCAAACGAATAACAGAAATGGAGTTCGAACTCAAACTCGAATTCGAAAAATGGTTCGAAAACTCAAGATCGGCTCAATTATACTCATTTTCTTGCAAGTATGATCGAAGTCAAGTACTTGACTCAACTAAAAGAGTAATTAT